TTGGGAAACTATGTAGTTCAGCATGAACACCCCTCTTGGCTTAAACCAATCAGTTCAAACAAATCCCCCTCTTGTAGTAACCAATCACCCCTACCCAACTTGTTCCCGCCAGTGACTGTGCTAATCATGTTTTAGGGTTGTTATTTGATTTTCCCGCTGTGTGTRATGRTTTGCTAAGGGGTCCCTGCCTTCTCCAAAGAGTGTATAAAACTGCTKCAAACCCTGGGGTGGGGCCTGTCAGCGTCACCAGTTGCTGTGTGTGCKCGAGGAGGACAGAGCTAGCTCGCAATAAACACCTCTTTGCTGCTTACATCGATCTTGGTCTCTGGTGGTCTTTTGGGGGTCYCGAATTCGAGCATAACACTCCCTRAGTTCATTCCTTAGATATCCTTTTAACTCATTGATCATTTTAACAATCAACCTTTTGAATTCCTTGACCAGAATCTCCTCCATTTTGATTTCTGAGTTCAGTTACTGGAGAATTATGAACTTGTGGAAGCATCTTATTACCTTGTTTTCTGATGTTTCCTGTTTTTCTGTGTTGAGATTTGCATGTCTGCTGGAATGGGCATCTCTTCCACTGTTGTGTGAGGATCTTTTTATTAAACAGTTTTTTTCTTTACTATATGCCTTTGGTCAGGGGTATATCTCAGCATCGAAGRACCACTCAATGTTTTCATAATGCTATGATCAATCTATAGCATCAGTTTGAGAGGAAATAATAATCACCGGTAACTGAAGCCACTTGAGAGCAACCCATATACTAATAAAACATAAATCTCTTAATCTTTATAAAGGTATATTTATAAGAYAATAATCACTTAACAATGGAGATTTTTTTTTAAGAAATGCGTATTTAGATGATTGTATCATTGTGTAAATATCATAGGGTAAACTTACCCAAACTAAGATAGGTATAATGTCACTCAGGATATAATCTTTGGGACCACTGTTGAATATGTTATTGACAAATATGTAGTTGTCCATCACATTATTGTATTTAACATTGTTACTGCCTTGTGTTTGGTTTTTTTACTTACATTAACCATATGCTTTCCTCCGTTAGTAAATGTTTTGGAAGTATAATTCTTTTTTTGTTTGTTTGGTTTTTTGGTACCAAGGATTGAACTCAGGAGCACTACTGGGTCACATCCCCAGCACTACTGGGTCACATCCCCAGTCAGGGTCTCACTGAGTTGCTTAGTGCCTCACCATTGCTGAGGCTGACTTTGAACTTGTGATCCTCCTGTCTCAGCTGGGATTACAGGCATGTGCCACCGTGCCTGGCTGGAAGTATAATTCTTAATGTCAGCGTTAGATTGTGCTCTATGATGGTTTAACAGGGACTAAGAGAGGCTGCCTTTGCTAAGAGCAGCCTGACGGGGAACAGAAGCATGATAAAGCTTAGCATCTCTACCTTTGCTTTCTGTCTGTCTCCTTCATTACCTTAAACTYTGTGACCTGCACATAGGTAGGCTAATCATTTATGAAGGTTCATCTAAAAACTGATAACAAGGTTTAGTAGCCCCAATTTGCCTAACCTGTCTTTTCCCTTAGAGACTGAGAGAAGATCTGCGAGGACATGTGCAGCATCCCGTTTCAGACCCTTGGAGTGGTGTCTAAGCCTCGAGTCACTGTCCTACACCTCCCAGGATCACGGGGCCTTGCAGCACATCACACCGCAAGGAAACGCCCCCCAAACAGGAGCCATCACCTCATGGGAACTAAACTGCCCCCTTCCAGTGTCACAGTCCTGACAGATAAAAAGCAGATAAGCACTCTCCAGATCAGCCTTGCAGAACCAGAAGTGAGATAACCACCCACCAGACCGCAGTTTGACCAAGACGGCTCAGTCATGCCCATCTCCTGCCCCTGTCCAGTTTTCCTCTATTCAAACCCAAAGTTCATGCTGACCCCTGAAGGCA